TGCAACAACGTAATTTATATTGATTATCCTTACTCATTAATGTAACACCAATATAGGCTATCGTCATCATCATTATCATGAAATGCATCATGCAAAACAATCAAATCATTCATACAACATCATCTTACTCAATCGCAACATAATTCATGAGACATTACTCAGGAATATACACAGATAGACATCAATGTCGGTCAAATAATTAGCTACTGTGTTCCAATTTATTTTTATAGGATAGAAAATAATTTTAGCTTTCTATCGGTCTAAACGGCGCGTCAAACGGACACCCGAGGCGAAAGTTATGCAATTTACAATTTTTGGAAAATATGATATTTCATTGGTAATTGGTTACTGCCAGGAGGGTAACCGGTTACACCCCTATGATTCAAAATTAATACGCTATTGTCCAGTTGGGTAACCGATTCCAACCCATGCACTAATTGATTACGCCCTCTTATTTTTTTCCCATTTCACCCAAATTTGCATAGGGTAACTGATTACCCTTCATGCAGTAATCAGTTACACCTGATGCACAGTTCAAAAATCTGTAATTTTTCTGAGTACGAAAATCATTGTTTAAAAACCCCAATTCCCAATATTTCAATCAAAACAATATCTTCTAATTATACTAACTATTCACCAATAGTACCTATCAATTCCATCCAATATACACCATTACATTTCACAAATAACACACAAAATGCATCAAGGAAATTCATCAATAGTAAAAACCCCAATAAAGCAAAATAGAGAGAAAATCAAGAACACACAATCATAGAACCTAAACACTACCACACCATATCATTATGCAACCCATTATGGTGTTAGAATCCCACCTTTACCTTGTATTTTTCCGATTCTTGACTCTTACAGTGAAACTTCTTGCTATAGCCTCTTTCTCTTCTTCTCTCTTCTACGAACCTTTCTCTATTTTCTACATTGTTTTTCCTCTTCTCTATTCTCAACTCTATTTTATTCCAACACTAACCTTAGGATCCCTAAATCATAATACCAACCTTACCCTTCCTAAATTAAATAAATAATAATTCTATTATTCTACTAATAATATTTATTTAATTATTATACTATAGTATTAAATCTAATATTTTTAATCTAAATAATGCTAATAAATTAGTTATCTCTCTACACCTCATGTTTCTACACTTTTGTTCATACACCCCCATTATCTCAACTCCAATAATTTCTAAGGCATCTAATTCTCAACAAATTCATCACAAAACAACAAAAGATTCACTAAAATGCACAAATACATTGCATCATCAAATAAAAAAAATGATTCAACGAAATTGAGGTGTTACAAAGATGGCCGTAGGAAACATCTTTACTACTCCAAACATAATTTGGAACATCAAACTTCAACGAAACACATGGAGTGGGATTTAAAATATCTACAATCGTGCTCAATACTTCTCACCGAAAGTATTTCGATAACTTTGATTGAGAAAGTAAATGTCTCACCCTTTCCACCAAAGTTCTATTCATTCTTTCAGCTAACCCATTCAATTGTGGTGTCTTTAGAGGATACTTTTGATGACATATACCTTGATCTTGACAATACTTATTGAAAGATCCAACATAATCTCCCCCGTTATCGGTTTGGATACACTTGAGTTTCTTCCCCATTTCTCTTTCAACCGATGCTTGAAACGAATTGAAGGTATCTAACACTTTATCTTCTGTCTTCAAGGTATAAGCCCATGTTTTTTTTGAGAAAAATTATCAATGAAAGTCACAGAGTAATATGCACCACCAAGTGACCGCGTCTTCATCGGACCACACACATCGAAATATATTAAATCTAACACTTTCGATTTCCTATTTGGTTCATATGACATAAAGGAAACTCGCCTTTGCTTATCCGCCAAACAATGCAAACACTTTCTCAACTTTTCATTGGAGACACCATACAACACATTCTTTTTTGCTAAAATGCTCAAACTTTTTTCACTCATATGACCCAAACGCTTGTGCCATAATTGAGATGAGCTATCATTAAGTGTTGATGTAGCACTTCGAAACCCCAAGTTGGACGACATACAAGTTTGAATTCCTTTTTCCTTTAGAAACCACCATTGAACCTTTTTTTAACTTTCATTCATTGCCCGAAAAAGAAATATCATATCCTTCATTATCCAACTTTCCAAAAGATAAAAAATTGAATCAAAGTTTCAGGATGTGTTTCACACCTTTGAGAACTAGAGTGTCCCATTGTTAGTTTCGACACAAATATCTCCCATTCCGATGACATTAGCTTGCCCATTATTTCCCATACGAACAACCCCAAAGTCACTGGTCTCGTAAGTAGAAAAAAGATCACATCTCAAAGTTGCATGAGTAGAAGCACCACTATCAACCACCCAATCCATACCATCACATGATAAATTGACATTCTCAACACATCTATCATAAAAATAAAGAAATCATCATCAATAGCAACATCTTCATTATTGTTACCTTTATTTTTGTCGTTGTTATAACTCTTCTTATTCTTTTCCCTTTTCAACTTACGGTAATACCTCTTTATGTGTCCCTTTTCCCCACAACGATGACACTCAATATGAGAAAATCTATTAGAGTCTCCTTGTAATTTACCACGTGAAGTTTCACGACTACTTGAATCTCTACTTTGATGTCTCCCCCTTGATTTGGTAATCAACACCTTAGAATATGAAGAAGAACCTTGTGACTTACGCCTCAACTCCTTATTCAACACACTACTTTTAGCCAAGTCCATCAAGATGATACCATTCAGAGTGGAGTTAAACAATGATGTCCTAAAAGTATACCAATAATTAGGCAAAGTACCAAGAAGCCACAAATCTAGAATTTCTTCATGAAAAGTAAGATTCATCATCGACAACTAATTTATAATACCTTGAAAAGTGTTCAAGTGATCGGTCATTGGTGAGCCATCACTATACCTTAATGACATCAATTGCTTGAACAAGAACAACTTATTGTTTCTCGTCTTTCTTGCATACAACTCCTCAAGTTTAGTCTAAAGAGAGCGAGCATGTGTCAACGAGCTCACATAATTCAAAACATTATCATCTATCCATTGACGAATATAACCACAAGCTTGTCTATGAAACCAAGTCCATTCTTCACCACTCTTTTCATTGGCTTTTTCATTAGAGAAAACTGGAAAGTGAGAATCTTTCACATAAAGAAAATCTTCTATTTTTCCTTTCCAAACATTATAATTGGAACCATTCAAACTCACCATCCTAGATGTGTTCGTCTCCATCGTTACACAAATCAAACCACAACTATGATACCACTTGTTGGAAGGAAATAAAAAACGCAATGAAATAATTCAACAATACAATCTCTCCCATATACCAAATGCAACGACAATCAACAAAACACACAAAATACACAACACAATTTTAGCATGGTAAAACCTCTGTTAACTAGGAGTAAAAAACCACGGGACCCGTAGGCCACTTAAATCCTCCATTATAATCAACAATGGGTACAAACAAGGTTCTCTATAATACTAGTTAGAGGCATACATAAATATCATCAATTTTTGCAATCAATCTTGGAATACAACAAAAATCAAAAGATACAAAACAACTCAAAAACACCAGGATATTATAACCTCAAAGATGGACTCAACATACCGACTTAGAAAGCTATGAATCCAATCACCACTGTTCAGAATTTGCTTCTATGAGTCATGAATGTTGTGTCAAAATTTCAGGTTGATCCGACCATTGGATTTTGTACAAGCTCCGATTTTCTGGGACTGATTTATACATAATTGGGGCTGCGGGAATAGTATTTTTCTCTCTTCTCACTTCTTTTCTCTTGTTGTTTTTCACACTTGAACCTTATTCCTCTTTGTTGGATAATAACAAAAGCTAACACACATATGGACCACTAACCCACATCATTCGAGCCACTCCAAATAGGAGGGATAGCCCAACAAAAATCTACTAATTTTACAAGCTATATTTGCATTTTATTTGTTTATACATTTTTTTAGGAATGTGTTTGGATTTGAGAAATATGAAAAGTGATAGATTTTTTCTTGAACTAGTTAGAAAACATAATAGTCACCTTGGGTAGAGAACTCTTTTGAATTTCAATCTTGTTTTAGTAAAAAAAATTTATTAAAAAAATATTTAGTAACTTTAAAATACTCAACAACAACAACAATGTGTGTCACAACAACTAAAATAGTCTCAATTGCAACATCTACAACAGTCACGATGGATGTCATAAGAATCACAATTACCGCAATTACAACATGTGCCATAGCTGAAATGCGTGTAGCAACAATCGCAATGATCACAATTACAACACCTACAAAGATCGTAATGAGTGTCACAACCAACATTGATTACAACATTTACAGGTGAAATTTAAAGCTAATATGTATTGGATCATGAGGGAAACATTCACATTCCATCCAAAAAAATTCATCAACATACAATTGTAATATCATTGACCTCACTTTATCATTTATCAGAAAAACTTTTGACAGAAAGAGTCATCACAGACACCACATGTTTTAAATTTTGATCGGTAACAACAATTATATATGCAATATTTTTGTTATAGATTCTTTCCACTAAAAATTAAAATTTCATAATCTCAAATCATAATATTAGTTTGATCTAGTGAAAAAACTTAATTTTAATAGTTCTCAACGTTTTGTTTCAAATGTGTCTCAATTAGTATCACACTACAACAACTGCAATGCATGTTACATCAATCACAATGACCGCAATTACAACACGTTCAACATCTGTAATGTGTATCACAACAACCAAAATGAGGACAATTGCAATACCCGCCATGCATGCTGCAACAATTGCAATGATTGAAATTGCAACCCATGCAATAGCCGCAACATGTTGCAACAACCATAATGATCACAGTTGCAATATATAAGGATATTTCTAATCATAATGATAAAAAGGAATTCAAACTACAATATAGAGTTTTATCAACTTGGTGTCTGCATGGTGAAGTTACCTTCGCATCCTCTTTCTACTTGACTCCTCTCCCATCTTATCAACAACAGCTTCTAGTGCTTTCATCAATGGTTTTGTGTTTCTTTTACTCTTCCTTACAGTTTCTACAGCCTGATTCCTGAAGCGATCTTCTGAGGCTGAAACCCTAACAACATTAGGATCATAAATGGACTTCATAGAATTTACACCGAGACTTGTCAGATCATTTTCTTTTCCAATTCCAACCGCGTCTATAAGAGCTTCAACTCCAACTAAATCTTTCAAAGCAAAAACATATTCTTCTAGTTTCAAATTTCCACCAAGAAAATTCTTAATCACCTACAAGTTTTAGCCAAATAGTTGAATATGAATCCATCTTATGAAATGATGAAATGAAAGAGCATAAAGTTGTGAATAATATAATTAAGTACATACCTCAAGTAATTTATTGCAGCAATGTTCCACAGATTCATTATGGAGTAAACGAGATAAAAAGTGTTGATGTGTTACTTTTGTGAAAAGTTTTTGCTTATTAAAACCTCTTATAGTCACTACGCCAAATAAGCTATTTAATAGCGCTTTTTTTTGTTTTTGATAGCGCTTAAAAGTGCTATTAACCGCGCCACTATTGTAAATATTTCTTATTTAATAGCACTTTAAAAGCGCTATTAAAGTACCAATTTATAATAGCGTTTTAATTAAAGTGCTATCAAAGTCAGTATTTTGCATGTTTTTTGTTTGTTTTTTTATAGCACTCTAAACAAAAAGCGCTAATATATAACATATATTTGATAGCGCTTTCAAATAAAGTGCTAATAAATGGTACATATTTGGTACAATATTTTCAACCGTGCCGCTAATTGCAAGATTTCCAACCACAGTGATTTCCGCAACAACTTTCTTACCAATATCAATGTAATGAATGTAGCATTTTAATCAAGTCTTAATAAATGAAGCTGCTTATTCAACCTCAAAACCTTTTATACTTAACTAACAGAAAAATCTGGGTTTCCCCTATTAAATAATACTACACTTGTTGAATGAGGCGTGGTAAAACAACAATAGAGCCTATTTTATATATGAGATACTATTCATCCCTATTTACATGATATGATATGATATATCTATATAATGAATACAAAGTTTAGAAATGGTCATGAAATAAAATCATATTTTGTATATAAGAGATACTATCCCTAGTTACATGATATGTTATATCTATACAAAGAATATAAAGATTATAAAAGATCATGAAATGAAATCATATTTTGTATAAGAGATACTATCCCTAGTTACATGATATGTTATATCTATACAAAGAACACAAAGAATATAAAATGGTCATGAAATCATAATAAAATCAGGATTCAGGCGCACTTCGAAGCAAATGGTTGTTGAGACTAACAAAGCAAGCTTCATGCTAAGCTTGCTCTTTGGAAGCTAACAAGTGGCTACCAATAGCATCATTGTTTAAATACAGATAAGTTTTTTTGCCAGAAGATGTAGTAGTAGGTACGTTAGAAAAACCAGTGTAGTTGTCATTCAACTTCGATAAGCATATTTTCGCAATAAAATCAAAGAGCTCGTTTTCTTGCACAAAAGGTTGGGCTGCATAGTCTTCAACAGGCATCCACTGAATAGAAAAACAAACTATGTTGGAATATGGTCACCACCAGTCAAAAAACATCCTACAACTTTATAAAGATACCTTAGTTGCTTCAATTTCTGAGGCCTGACTTTGAATGTCAAAGGATTGAGGTTGCAACATGCAAACAAAGAACAAGTCTGATTTCTGAAAAAAAGATTTATGGCTTTGCCTGATACCAAAGAGACAGGAAGAAAAACATAAAGGTCAGTAGCAGGCCAGATATTGAAGACAGAAAATTTGTGAACTATATGCATGCATTCTAATGATTCTTGTGTAAAAGATATAGTTGTGCCAACATTCAGACTGCATGCTAGTTGACGAGGTTGGTGTGTGTAAGTCACTCTTACCTGAAAGCTAAAACTTCAACAAACTCTGTCTCTACCTACATGAAGAACAAAAGTAATGGCATTAAGACTTCGAAATGAATAGTCCATTTTTTGTTTTAATATACAATGGTGTAATATAAATTTTGAAGAATGTTTAGTTAAATATATTAATAACAGACGGTGACAAGAAAAAAATGAAATAGAACAATTTAATCTGTACTATATTTTGTGTTTGCTTACCCCTGTCTCTTCCTTCACTTCTCTAATTACAGCATCACAAATATTCTCGCCCTGCAAATATGATAAAAATGAATCAAAAGAACATATTATAAGTTTCATAATTTGATGAATAATCATGTTGATATATACTTCATTAACAGCTCCAGTAGGCATCTTCCATACACCTGTGCCTCCAAATCTACCACTGGTTTCCTGAACCACAAGCACCTATCAAACAAAACGAGACTGTTTAAAGTATAATATAACAGAATGATTGATGAGAAAGAGAAATGAAAGAGGAAGAAGATTACCTCTCTTTTGTTATTGACGACAAAAGCACCAACGCCGAGACGGTGTGAAGCATTTGCAGGAATGCTATCAGGGGTATGAGGGATCCAATATACAAGCATCAAGTAATCTGACTCAGCATGATGGTACCTAAATCCAGCCTGCAATGCAATAAAAAATTCAGACAATACTAATATTGGGTATTCAATTACCAAAATCTTATTGGTCCTAAATCATTCAATTTGCCTCAGTCATCATAAATAGAGTGATCACTCTAATTCTACACAAACAAATCACCTTACCGATTCCTTTATGACAAAATTCCAGACATAAACTCATTAAAAATATTTGGCACACTATGTTATGCTTCTATCCTTGTGCACAGAACCAAACTTGATCCAAAAGTTTAAAAAAAAATATATTTCTTAAGATATACATATCTGGCCAGAAATGCAATGTCCTTCTTGACATTGCCTCAAAAGAAATATTTGTATCAAGACATGTTTCCTTCCATGAACATATACTTGCTTATCAAAAAACTTAACCATCGCCATACACTTTCTGGCACACTATTTCCCATTTGCACTTACAAATTTCAGCACAGACAATCTTACCACAACTCCTGATCCAATCATTTCAGCCCAAACAATTCCTTCAAATACTTATAAAAGCCATTGGCAATCATGACACTTCTTCCATACCTAACAGAACATCTTCAAGATTGAGAAATCATCATTCCTATCTCAGACTATAACGGCAATTCCACACACCAATCATCCAAGCCACACACAGCTTGAACTTGATGCACTTGAGAAACTGGAACATGAAAATTTGTAGATTTACCTCTAAATGTTAAGGCAACTGGATATACTAAATCAAACATCTAGCTTATGGTTCAATTGACTAAATTTACAACTAAATTGGTTGACTGAGACTCGTCCCATGAATTTGAATATTATTGGAGTTCAGCATGTACCAAAATTTTAATGAACATTAACCACTGTTATAAATAAAACTAAACTTTAGCTCATAGAAGGAATATTGATTATGTATTGTACAATAAAAACTAATTCAACATATAAAGAATAATCAAACATTTAATATGGGTCTAACAAGAAGCGCCAACTCTAGGAGACTCTTCGATTTTGAATTTTTTGTTACTTTTGTTGGGTGATGAAACTGAATATTCAACACTGTGTTGAATATTGTTACCTTTGTTTTGGGATTGACCAGGAATCTAAAAAGTTGTATTAATTAATATTAGTGATCAAATAATAAAACAAGTAGCGATCAAGCAACTTGATTATAAGTAATTTACCTTTTCACATTCAGCAACAAATTCAAGAAGTTTCGTTGGCCATGGCACAATTATTCCTATTGCTTGGCCATGGATACATCTCCATCTTCAACAGATATAGGCAATGGGGCCTTATCATCGACGCGGTTGGTTGCACATCTGGCATGCAGTGGCAGATCTGACATTCGCATAGGTACATTGCTCACAAGACCAATGATTATCATCAGTAATTCTGCTGGACATGCTAGCTCGAACCGTCCCCTTTCCTCTTCCGCCTCTTCCCTTGCTGCTCCCTGCAGCATTTTTTGAACCCGTTGCTTTACTGGAAGCAGCTCCATTGCTATCCACATCGCATAAACCATTCTCTAATTCCCTAACCAAATTCTCAAAGTAGTTTCTAGTCACACTGCAAAAACAAATGAATTAGAAAATTAAACCATACAATTTGGGCACCATAATTATTCATTAGCTATGTCATTATTATACTATTCATTGGTATATAACTGCATGCTGAAACAAATTGTCACACCAACAGAACCAATAGATGGTAAACATTCTAAAACATGAATAGAAAAGCAAACAAAACAACATGCCAAACATATGAATTTCATCAAATGCACGATAGGTATGAATCATGATGTACAAAATGCATATATTTCCATTACAAGATTCCATCTCGAGATGTAATAGCAGATTTACCATTTCTAATTCAAAACAAATGTACAAAGTATGTCTCTTTTCAGCAAACTTGAGGAAAATGTATCAAATATGAAGTCAAACTCCAATCAGAACAAAAAAAGTAAATAAAAAAATGGGAAAATTCTGAACAAAAACAATAATAAGTAATAACATTAACCTGGTCAATCCAGCTAGCTTTGTGCGAAAATCATTGAAATCTTTAGATGGGCCATCACCATTGAGGAATACTTGGAGTTCCTTTTCGGCACATTGATGAAGTCTCTCTAAACCTGATTCAGCCTCACCTGAAGATAAAGAAATTGAATAGTTTATTTCAAGGAAATCACCCAAAATGCAAGACATCTAATCAAATTGAAATTGACAACAAAAAAACCTTGCAAGTACTCAAAGAACTGCTTTTTCGCATGCTCATGCTCCGCTAAATAGAATCCATATGCATATGTCCACTTTAATACCCGCCTGCACTCAACTATCTGCAGAGGTGATACAGAATTTAGAGAGATATTAGACGTCTATTTTACAACAGTCAAAGACATTTCACATCACCCAGCTTCAGAAAATAGTTTAATGAAAAACTTCATTTGTGTCCTTGGGAGAGGGTTATGAAAATATGACTACACAACAGTCTAAGAAATGTGTAAGGCAAATTTATCACCCAGGTCATCAAACAGGGATTTGAGACATGCATCATAAAACTAATTTTTTAATTGTGATACACAAATCATACCAAATCATAAAGTCTGGAAAGGACAAGAAAAATAGCATGAAACATATTAAATAAATTATGCACTGTTGAAGCTAAATTATCGATGTGAGATGAGTCACCTAATCTACGGATAGTGTTCTCGAAACATGTCAAAATTCAGTAGGAAAAGAAAATTTCATAAGGAATGACATTTGATGAAAACTAGTAGCTAGCATGATTGTTAATAAAAAAATTGTGAGGCATCAACGCAGGGCAAATATTTCAACCGAGTAATACCGGTTAGTTAAATCAAACCAAAACTCGATCAAGATGTTTCACACCAGCTGAATGCCGTTCCTACCATCTGCAAGATTCAGTTTTTCCTCATAAAGCTTTATGAGATCAGAAGAATGCTCCTCAAAGCCTTTCACAAACTTCTCCACAAACAACTTCTCAGATACAACAAACGGCGTATACACGCCTGCATCCTTCCGTCGCAAGCCTTTCGAGATAAGAAACTGCACAACCGAAGCTCTAGGAATAATCCTCTTCTCGAGACTGCATTGAAGAATTCCAGGAGCTCTGGCAAGGTCCAAAGAATCCAAACCTAGGTGGTAAACCCAAAAATCCATGATTGCATTGATTTTCCGAGGCGATACCAGCATACAGAAAGGATGCTTCTTAAATGTTTCAAAAATCTGTTCATCAGACCAGCCCCATTTCTTAAAGGTTTCAACTTTCTCATCCCACTGCGCTTTAGTGGCACTTCTCTTCGCGAGAAACGCCTTACTAAAAGCGGAAGTGGAGCCATCGAAACCGAGTTCTTTCAGTTCTTCAACAGTGTGCAACAAATCAAATGAGCAAATTATACTAGGCCACCAATGAAACAGCCTAGCAATATTAGAGTGAGAAACTCCATTATCAAGCAACAATTTGACATTTTCAGGCAGCCCACTTTGACAAAGAAAACAAAAACGTTTAACACAAGCAATGGTTTTTTTGTCAGATTGAAGAAACCCTTTTGCACATTGATATGCAGGAACTATATGATTCTCTAAGCTTCTTCTAAGAAGTCTAGGGCTTGAATTAACAATACGAACAATATCATAGGAAGAAGCGCCTTTGGAAAGTAAAAATTGAAACTTTGGTAAAAGAACCTTGTTGGGGTCGCATGAGAGTAGCCAGGGTTCACGTCTGATGATGTCGCGGAGTTGGGAGATGGAGAAGCCGTGGGTAGTGAAGAAGGCGAGAATTGAATCGGGTTTTTGGGAGTTGGAGAGAGTGAGATTTTGGAAAGCTTTGGAAGCGGTTTCTGGGGAGAAGCCGCAGTTGTTGATGAGGTAAGAGACGGTGAAAGATTGTGGGTTAGTGGTGGAAATGGAGAAGAATTTGAAAAGGGTTTTTGGTATAGGAGAAGGAGAAGAAGATGGTGTTGTGAGTAGGAGGAAAATGTTTTTGTTTTTGGCGGTGAGTGGATCTGAAAATGTGTTTTTTTTTTTTTTTTTTATCAATTAATTAATTAATTCATTATTATATATAACATAGCGCTTTTTAATAAATGCTATTATATAGGTAGTCAAATAATAGCGTTTTATATAAAATGCTATCTTAAAGAAGTTTAATAATAGCGTTCTGGTACAAAGTGCTATCATAATTACATAGTCTGTATTATATAATAGCGCCCGATTAAAAAGTGCTATTATAAATGTGTTTTTTCCATTTTAATAGCATTTTTTTTAAAAGTGCTATTAAATTAGGTGATACAAAAAATCATTTTTGGCGTAGTGAGTTTCTCTTGCTTCCTTATATATACGCCATTTTTTATGATCCTCAGAGGGATAGAATTTTGTATAGTAGAAAGTTTTTAACTCACCAATGCTCTTAGTACCAATAAATCTTTTCACTTTAACAAAGTCTTTTCCAAATATATATAAGCCAAGTATTAAACTTGCTTCTTCTACTTTATTCAAATTATTATTTGAATACAAGTATAATGGTTGTGCCTTTTTGAGGTTATATGAAATCTCTAGAGAGAGCTTGTAGTCAATCTTTGACATCAAATCTGGAATTTCAGCTCGTTTTTTTATATCAACATCTTTTTTATTTTTCTTAACTTCCTGAAAGGAAACAAAGTTAAATAACTTAAAAGAATACATTGATTTTTCTTGTTGCAATTGAACAATATTGTGTATTTATTGTATGTGATTTATGAAGTGGAAATGTGAGCCGCGTGATTGCGATCATATAGTATGACAAATATGTGATACAAATATTTATTAATGAAAATAGTAAATTCATTTGATTTTTTATTTTAACAATTCTAATGCTACTAAAGAAAACTCTAATTCTTACACTCTATTGGCCCTTATTAATTATTGGTATCAATTTACAAATATGAGTATCAATTTCTAAGCCTGTTTTTGATTCTCTCAGATTAGTCGGTCTCAAAAAGCTTAATCTAAGTTTTCAAGAAAAATAATTCTCATATCTTTGAAGATAAAGTGCGGGGAGGAGACAAAAGATCTAAAAAATCGACCTCTGACCTAATAACATGCATTAGAGTGTGGTAGGGATTGCACCCCTTAAGTTAACACATAAGATGTACATTTTTTTCAAAACAATCCAAAATTTCAAGAACGATTAAAGTCGCGCACAATTTAGCTTTATACAAATATGAATCAATTCACATACTCAATGAAGCAGCAGACAAAAATAATATAATATCGAAGACATATCTACTACATTAAATGGTACGGCGTCATTCAAAGCATAAAATTTGAGCTACAAATTAAACCAGCAAAAGAATTAAGACATTTAAAAAAACGATGTGATTCAGAGTTTTACCTTCATAGTAGACGATATATGATGAGAATATCCGTCCATCTGAAGATTCTAGCTTGCAAAAGAAGGACCTTATCGTTACTACGCCTATTAAATTACATACAAAGAAAAAAATGAGAACAAACAAAATCCATCAAGAGACACACATATACAATTAAGATAAAAATGAATAGAGAAAAAAGTGATACATACCTAGGTGCGTTAAAGAAGCTAGGGTTTCATAGATACGCTAGAGAGAGCCGGAAGAGAGGGGGGATGTGCGGGTAGAATAAAAACATTATATATATATATATATATATATATATATATATATATATATATATATATATTATTTCTGAGTCGAACATAAAGGCCTAGTAGGAAGTAGGGCCCAAGAAAACTAGTGGAGACCAAACATGGCAAATACAGACCAAGCGGTCATTAGTGGCTTTCTGGGGTGAAATGATCAAAGCCATCAGATCCATAAAACTCATCTTTCGGTTGTTTGTGTTTCTCGAACTCCTTTCACATTTCAGTTACAAACAAACTCTTCTATAAAAGGAAGTAAAGTGTGCCATTGTGAGGTAACTTCTTTCTCATTTGAAATTTCATTATTCACTTTGTTGTACCCTAAAATTTGCCCTCTCTTTTCTCAAGATATTTCTCAAAGGTTCTCAAGGGTTTGATCAGACAAGCCCACCTCCTAAGCACTGAGACCACAAATTAGGGTTTTGGTTTTCTCAAGGACAATTGTACTTTTGATACCTCAAATGAATTTCATGGTTCATTATAGGTCTCTAAAAATACTCATGTCAAGTTTCAAGTCTTGCACCACAAGTTTGCTCAATCGATTGCTCAGATGACTGAAAATCAGCTGTATTTGGTAAAAAGTCAACTGTGATCAATCCACAGTCAAACTTCATGATTTTTAGTCCCCATTAACATCTTGAAGTCATATTTATCAATTTATCAAGGATTGATCACAATGCCTCAAGAAAAGCATTCAAATAATCAAAAGGGCAAAATTGTCAAAATTAGAGTTTTGACTGAAGTTGACTGATCATTGACTTTTGACCTAATACATGATATAATAGTTTGAAGCATAATCTCAAGGACTCAAACACAACATTTTGACCTAATTTCATGACTCAAATCATTTCTGAAGATCAAAAGATTGATAGTTGAATTTTTTATCAACTGATGAAAAGTCAACTAATACACAAAAAGTCAAACTTTGACTTTTTGATCAATATTATATTCCAAAGATCAAAATTCATCAAGAAATTTAAAAATATCAAACTTGATCATCAAGAATCAAGAAAGTCAATAAAGCCCACAAAAGCCAAAGTTTTCATTACTTCATGACATTTTTTTACCAAGATGCAAGATGATTCAAAGAAAACTTTCAACATGAAAGTTGTAGATCTTGATGAACTCTATAACTCTGTATTAGAGGTTTGATGTCCAAAAAATGCATATATTTTAAGATGTAGGATCATGAAGTCATGACATTTTTCATAAAACACTTAGTGAAATTTTCAACAAGTTTGGGCAGATTTTTGACCTAACTTCTTGACCAATTTTCACCTAGTTCCAAGATGATTTAGCTAAAGTTATCAACATGAAGGTTTTATACAATATTTCAAGCTTTCCAAAATGTCCAAGAACTTGAAGATATCATTTTTGAGCTAGGAGAATCGAAGAGAAGAAGTTGAGCATCCATTCTGTCATTTCAAGTCATTTTCATGAAGAACACTTGATCAAATCTCAAACCTATGCTGCATAATCTTGATTTACAGGCTTCTAACTTGTAAATCACTCCATAATTAATTGTTTACACAATTGATTTAGGTATGATCCAAGTGATTAAGCCATTATCCAAAGCAATTTTCCATTTTTGGAAGAAAGGCACCATTGCCATTCTTAAAAAGTGACTTTAATCACAAAGTCAACTTGTCTTGAGTCTTTAACTTGTTTGTTCTGATCACACTCAACATGTATGCTCATAAGCAACATGTTTAAATCTTCTAGCCACCCTACAAATCCTTGTACTATGCATTAGAACAAAGTTTATCAAGCTTGCTTCAAAATCAAGTCATATGGTCATAACATGTGATATTTTTATTCTGATTGTTTCAAGCCTCCAAACCTTTCCTCTATAAATAGACAAGTCATTTGAAACCTAAGACACAATTCACAAGCCTTGAAACACCTTGAAACTATCTAAAACTCAGAACTGCATCCAAGACTCCATAATTTGTCATTTCTGGTCAAATTCAATCTCATAATTCACTCGTGCGTTTTCCCTCTAAATCATTCTAAAAGCTTCCATATATTAAATATAACTCATCCCCGTCCCTGTTTCCCAACTGTAACATCGTCTTCTTCATCTTTCAAACTAAAAAACAGAGCTCTGTACATTGACTTCTCCAGCACGATTCAGCCATTTTCAACACAAAGTAAGAGTTGCATTAGCTTCCTTGGAGTCCAGTGAAGCTATCTAGATCATCACCACACTTCCAGGCTTGCTCAAACTCCATACACGATTTCCAGTTTTGAGGTAAGTTTTATCAACTTTGAACTCTCTCTACAAGCATCATTAATGGTTACTTTGTGAATAAAAAATGTAGACATCATAGCCCTGAAGCTAACCATGCCCTTAGATTTCATTTATGTTACCTGAGTAATGCGAATTTTAAAGATGAACTTTCTGAAAAAATTAGGTTTTATTTAGTACCAACAAAAACTAATGCTCATCTTTGATTTATAGTTTAAGTTGTTTACATGGTTGAATTCGTATTGAAAAATGGAGTAAGTTTCATGTTTATACTTTTGTAAATGGTTGAGAAATGAGCAAGATCAGAAATTCAAAAACCTTGTCAATGGAGGTTGGTGCGAGGTTAGGGATGAAGTGCAATCAGGGAAGGGTTTATTTTATATTTATTGCAAGTTGTCTTAATAACTAATGAAACAGCCACCCAGTGGCAGGAGAAGCGCACATAAGACATTTGTTACTAGGGACCTGGGTTCGAGCCCCAGTGGTACCATTTTATATTTTTTTCATATTTTCCTTGTAGATCCAATGCATCAAGTGTAGCGCGGGTCCCATGCATCCCCATGGCCAAACCATCAGATCATTGTGCAAGTGGATCCAACGCCTCACATGTGCCAGACCATGATACACCTTCAAAAATCAGCCACACAAAATCAAAACAAGTGCTGGACATTTTTGTTTGGGCCTGAGTTATTTTTGAACCCTCACCCCTCCCCTTTACTTATACTCAAGCCCATATTTTTTTATTTAATTTTTCTAACTAAAAAAAATATATGTTTGGGCATAGCGTCTTTTTTGCTAACTTTTAACACCCCTCTTTATCTTTTAACACCCAACCAAATTATTTTTATTTCCTCTATATTTTCTTTATTTTCATTTATTTAGTTATTTTATTTAAACCAAAAAACATCCAAAATATATTTTCTTAATTAAATTAAAAAAGGTTTTAATTTAGACATTTTATTTTATTTTATTAAATTAAGTTTTACTATTTTTCTTCTACAAATTAACATTAACATTCATACTATTTTTCTAAACAAAATTACTTTAGACTTAGGTTTATTTTTAATTTTAATTAACTTAGATGTTAGGTTTTGTTAAATAATTAATTAATTTTTCTTGTAATTAAATTAATGAGCATTAATTAGATTAATCTTTAAACCTAACTATCAAAAAATCCTAAAAAAACATTTTCTTTTCTTCTTCATCTTTACATTTTGTATATTATTATTGTAATTCATGTCCAATGGTTTGTAATAGTAATTAGGGCTTTATTGCTTTCATCCCCTATTCACAAACTTGTACCCCCATTTTCAAAGCATTGTAATAGCGTATGATATTTAAATTCCGCAATTTATCTCTTTCCTTATTATTGTTAGTAATTAGGATTTGCATGACAAGACTAAAAGCAAACATAGCAAAACCCTAATCAAGACAAATTAAACATGAAAACAAAACACTTTTCACACATGCACCTCTAGGGTAACCCACACTTGTTGCCTCGGATAAAAATAATCATGTCCCTCGAGCATGAGATGTTTTAGCAAAGACCCTCGATTAAAAGATCATAGTCCCTCAATGACCCTTCAATGTTGCCTTCGGTAAATGATCTTAGTCCCTTACGACAATTGCTAAAACATCTTACAAGTTGCCTTCTATGATTGTACGATGACCCACGCCTATCCCTCATATCCAATGGTATGGCTCTCTACCAACCAATGTTAAAATAACACTATCTAAAGGAGGAGGAAAAGAACAAAGACTTTTTGAGTAGGTAGATTGCTCGTAATTGCTTGCTCACAAACAAAACCATTTATACCTCATACTTTTAAAACATCTTTCAAAACAAATGTTTTATATATATTCTCAACGATAGAATCATTACAAAATGGCCTTACATTGGCATATTCAAAACATTTTCTAACAAATATTTTCAAAACCAACACTTTGTATACATTCTCAATGATACGAGAATCATTGCAACGTTTGCCACACAAAGGATTTTTCAAAATATTTTCAAAACTTACACAAAACACAAAGCATTTCAAAATGAGCTAGCAATTAAGAGCCCGTAGATAATTACAGATGAAAATGGTGCTAACACCTTCCCTTTTCATAACCTACCCCCCGAACTCAAGAAAACTCTCAAAAGGTCTTTCCTGTTCTTTTCACCCTTTCCTTTATAGGATAAAAGAAAAGTCAGTGGCGACTCTTGTTATTCGCAATAATTGCGATCAAACACAAAACACCCAAGTCAGTTCTCCAACCGTATTACAGAACTGGAAACTCTGTTGGGGATAATAAACTAAAAGTGGGGTTACCTTAAGAGCCAGATCACTTTTATTGCTTTATTTTGTTTGTCTTGTTTGCTTTTACATTTGTGGGTTATGCTTGGGTTTATTACTTGAAAATATCCTATACCCGGATCTGGGGCATATTAGGTAAGTAGAAATAGATTGTGGGGACTATGCGGCGTAATACCGACATGGTTGAAGCGATGGATATGTTAGTGTGACACATTTGTTGGTACTGGTGTCCCTTGAGTCCATTCAAGGAGAATACGAGGCCGCTGTGTGGTGTCATGAAGCACTAACTGACTGTAGAACCTTAGTTGAATAACTTGGCCATTCGAAAGTAGTGAGATAACTGGATTTGGTACAAGACTAAAGTTGGTTGATACTCGATACTACACTCATTGAGATCAGACTTTTGGGATATTTTGGCCGCAGTTTGGATGCTTGAGCTAAAACAATGCTCAATGAAGAAAGATCAGTGATATTGAGACTCCTAGAACCCGGTTACTTTTTAGGACAGGTTGAGCCAACTAAAACTTCAAGAGGGTACTTACCTATAAAACCCATGCAAGCCTAAACCTAAGGCCTTGCGTGCTTTGTTTGTGTGTGATTATTTGTTCATGACATCATAATATCATGCCATATC